ATCTGCCTTGCCGCGTCTATCTAAGCTATGCAACTCATCCATATTGCGAGGTGCTTTCGGAATTGGTTGAAAACAACCAAAGTGCCGGAGCACGCGATCAGTGGAGTACCACTCGACGGTTGCATAACAGATCAGAGGGACCATCGCCATCCAAACATCTGATGGACCTCTCAACTCAGGTGGGATCACCACCCTCACATCATCAGTAGAATATGGCACCCATTCAAACTAAAACAAATAATATATAATTTTTATAAAAATAATAATCTAATTATATAACTATAATCTAAAATCAATTTTTAAACATTAAAATTCATACCTGTGTGCCAGCCTTCTGATCGATTAGCACCCTAATTTTTTCTAAATCATCAGGTAGCTCCTGATGATTTTTCCTATCAGTAGATCACCTATTCAAGGAAAAAAATTGTTATACGTTGTATAAAATTATTAATATACAAAATCAGGTTTATAATTACCTCAGAAGTAATGGAAATACGAATGAGTTCTTCACAACGGGACATAAAAAGGGCAATCGATATCATGCCCAAGACTGCATCAGCAGGAGACATCCGCCGATAGCATTACGCCTGTAGTCAGTGGCTCCACACATCTCCCTGTACAGCAAAGCCAAAACTGTCGAGCCCCAATTGAATGATTCGGCGAGACGAAAGTCGCTAAGATGTCGCAACCACATGCAGTGAACTAGGTTGCGCGATTTGTCCGACATCAACAACCCTCCTATCAGCTGCAGTATGCATGCCCGTGCATACATCTTAACCTCATCCTCAGAGGTGTCTGCGCTCAACTCCCGAAAATTGGCATCTAACCAATTTAACGGTATCCTACCTCTGATAAAATTTTTCGGGGCACGTCCTAGACTATCCCGACACAAAGTAGTCCAAGAACTGGAAGCTATCCCCGATATCACATCTCCATCCACCGAAAGCCCCAGGTGCATAGAAATATCCTCAAGCGTGATCGTGCACTCTCCGCACGGAAGATGAAATGTGTGGGTCTCCGGCCTCCACCGATCTACTAAGGCAGAAATCAGGGCTGACTCTATCTTACAGTGACCCTGATATCTACCTATGTAACCGAATCCAGCCTCTACTAAATACGGCAAGACACAGCTGGGTATCAATAACTTAATATTCCTAATAAAATGATCTAATACACGGTCCTTCTCCTAAAAATAAATAATTACAAAAATTAATTCTTAATCTAATAATCATGCATTAAATGAATCAACTAATTATTACTAATAATTTAAATTAAATTAAAACGTTAAAATGTTATCGTATCAACAAAGTGTCAAGATATTTAATTCTTAATCTAATAATCATGCATTAAATAAATCAACTAAATATTATTAATAATTTAAATTAAATTAAAACGTTAAAATGTTGCCGTATAAGCAAAGTATAGAGATATATAATTTCCATCCGAGCAAAGTAGACTGCCTTCCATTATATATCTGTACAAGAATTATATTAGTAAAATATTAAATAAAGTAAAAATATAATAGTAAAAATATTATAAAATATACCTTAAAAAGAGAGTATTTGAGAGAATTTGGTGTGATAAAATTGATTGAGGATGAGAGTATTTATAGGGAGGATGAGGACGTGAAGGGTTGGGTATTTAGGGGTATAGTGCGCCCCCTGCACCGCGCTATACCCCACGTGTCAGATATCTAGGTATAGCGAGGATCAGAGGGTGCGCTATACCCACGTGGCGCCAGATCACCGTATATCTGGGGGTAGGGGGCGTTATATCCACGTGACGCCAAATCAGCATATAACGTGGTGCGGGGGGTGCACTTTCCTGCTAAGGGTGTTAGATCGAGAAATATAATATGACCGATGTTAGATCGATAATAATACCGATCACTGGTGATATACCGAAAAAATCACCGATTAAAGCTATGTTTTCACTTTTTAATAGCGGTTGGAATTTAGCTTACTTCTCACGCGATTTAACCACACGCGCCAATGGCATTTAGCTATCGTGCAGCTAACTTTTTTTTCATGCAATACTTCACCATGAATCTATGAATGTATATATATAATGAATTATTCGATATATTTCTTACACCTAAACAAACCAATCCATTGATTTCTGGGTTATATATCAATTTGGATTTTTTTTCTGGGTAGTTGTAGGAGCATGCTGCCGCTGCTTTAGTAGTAGTGAAATAAAACCGAATAAAATATAGGGTAAAGTATACCCTATGTCAATGATGAACTATGCTCAAATGATTTATTTGATCATCGAATTTTCAAAAGTTATAAAATGATCATAAGATTAATAAATTAAATGATTATTTTACAATAGTTTGATAAATTTGATGATCATTTTATAAATGTTCAAAGATTGTAATGATTATTTTATAATTTTTGAAAGTTTAATGACTAAGATAATCGTTTGAGGATAGTCCAATACCTTCGAATGCACTTTACCCTCTAATTATTTATGGAGTAGAAATTAAAAGTAATTTGTTTCGTTGCTGGTTTCTACTAACCTAGCCTGGGGGTGTTTATCGAGGAGTCGATCACAAGTTGGGTAGTGTTCGACTCATGTTCGTTAAAAGTGTTTTGATTTGTTGCTTATTAAGTTCGTTAAAATTGTGCTCGACTTGTGCTTGTTAAAAAAAATTATTGTTCAACTCGACTCGTTGCTCGTTAATCTCACTAAAAAATTATCTTATTTTTAACTAAAAGTAAAATTTACTAATACTATATGAGAATATTAGGGTTGGGTTTTTTTGTATTAAAATAATACTATTAATTAATAATATTTAATTTTTAGTTAAAAATAATATAATTTTATTTTTAGTTAAGAAAATAAGATAATTTTATTAGTATTATTTTTAGTTAAAATTTACTAATACTCGAGTTTTTTACTTTTAAAATTTAAATACGTGATATTATTAGAATGAATAAATTTAAATATAAAGAATAGAATGAATAAATATTGAGCGTTTACTAAGTTTTGACCGAGTCGAATTCAAACTGCTCATGGAAATTTATAGTGTAATCCACAAGTTTTTAACTTTTAACCTCAATCCTCCTCCAAAATTCACCAGTGCATGGAAATTTATTTCCTTATATTTGTGGTACTTGAAATTAAGCCTTGTGGGTGGAAAATCACTATCGAGTGAATTCGTTCTGAAATAGAATATGATCTGACTCGACTCGAGCTTAATCAAGACCCTCTCTGACTACCTGACATGAAGGTCTAGACCAAAAAATTAAGTTGCATATTTGATATGGGTATTTTTAGTTTTTGGTCTAAATTTGTTTCATATACGAGAGAATTATGTCATTACATTCATGTATGAATACGTGCTCGAACATAGGATTGCATTGTCCATTACTAAGGCTTTAGAAATTTGCCTAACAAAATGGGGTTATAAGGAAACATTATGGAAGCTTCTTGGAACATAAAATATCATTGCTTAGCCATGAAGCAGCCTTAACAATGAAATCAAATGTGTTTTAGCTCTTATCATCTAATAGGGACCCATATTCATTGACCTTAAATCGCCACTTTCATAATTGTCATGCGGAAGCATAGCATCATATCATGTTCATGTGACATTCTTTCTTATCTTTTCACATTATCGCATTATTACATTTTTCGGTCCTTCATACTTTTGAAACTATGAAAATTAAGTCTTGCCCCAAAAGTTTTTAGTCTAGTTGCTTTTAAGGTCCATATTAGTTTTGAAAGTAGAAAAATCAAAGTCTTAGCCCAATTTTTTTTTCCAAGTTAAATACTTGCTAGGTCCTTATTTGTTTTGAAATTAGGCAAATTAAGTTTAACTCTTATTTTTTTGGTTTAAATACAAATTACATCTTTGTTAATTTTAAAATTAGATAAAATAGATTCCGACTCTAATTTTAAAATTTTATAATGGTGGTTTGATATTTAGGATCCCATTTTATTATCATTTATATTTGTCTCTCCTGAAGTTTCATCTTGGTTTCCTCCCTGATCACATGGATTATATTATCTTGTGAATTTTTTTTTTCATTTTGGTCAATTTTTTTGTACTGGAATGGGCAGGTATCGGTGGATTGTAAAATAGTGATAAGTCCAAGGAGGCAGTCACTTACATACAAGCAATGTGGATTTGATGGATTGAGGGTTTAAAATTAAAACCCAAACTTGTTTGTTTTCAGATTGATTGATGGGGAAAATGGTACTTAATTTCGCTTTCATTGTTCTCCATTCTCTTATCCACAAATGGACCCGAGAGAAAAATGAAGGAAAAAAGGGGGAGGCACTGAGGCAGAATTCAGGGGCACAGAAACACTTCACATGGGTTGAGTATTGCAAAAGTAAATCATAGGCAAAGAAGACGATGAGAAGATTCTAAAGGGGAAAGATCAGTTTTTTGAGCCCCCCATCCCCCCACTCCCCAACTCAAAGATTTTGCCCAAATTTTGTATTGGTTACTTGGGTTTTAAGGAAGAAAAAAAGGGGTTGTAACTGCCATTGTAAAGTTGGCATGTGCAGTGGGTGTATGCTATACTGTTCCTAATCTTAATCAAACTGGCAAATTATCTCTCTTTACATTTCTTCTATATGACTATATGGAAGATGCTGTGTCGTCTTACCATCTTTCGAAAGATACCATTGTCTTTCGAAAGATACCATTGTCTTTCGAAAAATACATAGTCGTCCGACTACCTTTTAAGAACATTGTGGATTTCATAATCTAGATGATAAAAAATCGACGACGACACATTTGAAAATTTAGAATATTAAACAGAAAAAGGATTTGATTTAAAATACTACTCATTCTTTAATGATTCAATTAGAATGATTTGAGGTTTAAAGATTATTTTAGAATATGAATATGATACAGACATGTTAGGGATAATTCATAAATAATTATAATAGGGGAAATGACATAACTAACCCTACATTTTGAAATAATGCGACTAAACGACTGCTATAGCCGCGAGTACACGTAATCTATCGCCTTGCAGCACAGGTTCCAATTTCCCTCTTTTCTTTCTCTCTCATTGGTCAGTGATTTGCTCTGCGTTTTTCAGTTTGAATTTTCCTCCTATCCAATCAGCGGAAAGAAAAGGGGAAGGCCAAATAGAAAGACAAGTTTGAGCAACGAAGTGGAGAAAATAGAACTCAAAATACGGGGCTGTCATGGCGCCTTCCAAGGTGATTACGACCACGTCAAGGACGAATCCCGACATGCCACGTCAGCCATCCCTATGCTCTTCGCTCTCCACTCTCCTCGCTGATCTCCAAAACCAATCTCAGAACTGCCTTGGCTCCATGACCATGGACGATCTCTTGAAAAACATCTACTCGTCGACGCCGCCGCAGCCGACTATTTCTTCCGACGCCCACGCACAGTTCATCGGCGCCTCCATCTCACGCGAAGGTAGTTTCTCGCTCCCGAAGGATTTGGCGAGCAAGTCCGTCGACGAGGTTTGGAAGGAGATCGTCGCCGGCGGAGGAGGAGATCAGAGGCGGGAAAGCCTGCTGGAAGAGATGACTTTGGAGGATTTTTTGACGAAAGCTGGAGCGGTTAGAGAAGAGGATGTTGGGGGAGTTGTTAATCAGGTGGGAGTAGGTGCAGGTATTTATCCTGTGGATCCCGTCGTTATCGACGGCGGTGGAAGTCAGTTTCCGGCGTTTGGAAACAACAGCAATTTTGATCATCAGAGATTGGTCGTGGTGCCGGCAGGTGGAGGCGCGATGAGAGGTAAACGACGCGCCGTGGAGGAACCTTCTTTGGATAAAGCGACGCAGCGGAAACAGAGGAGGATGATCAAGAACAGGGAATCCGCTGCTAGGTCTAGAGAACGCAAACAGGTCAGACCCTCCTTTCTAAATCATGTTTGGTTGCCTAGAAAATGAACAGAAATGATATACTTTTTTTTTTGAGGAAAGAAGAGAAATAATATGCTTAACCTTTTCACATTGAGATTTTAATTGTTTGCTATCCTTGTTGACATTTAGGCATATACTGTTGAATTGGAATCTATGGTTTCACATTTGGAAGAAGAGAACGCTCGGCTGCTAAGAGAAGAGGTATATATGCAGCTATATTATATGATTTTAGATCACATTCAAGAATTCCAATTGTTTCCCGTTTACCCAGCTTAGTGAACTACTTAAGTTCTACATGTTTGATCAAAATTAAAATGTTTTTACAAAATAATTCCTAAGCTAATCAATGTACATGAATCAAAATGATGTAGTACCATGCTTCCTTTCAAATGTATTCATTCGTAACATGAACTGAAACAGCGGAGATTTTGGCCCCCTTTTCCTCTTAATCTGGTTTTTTAGTCAATTAGTATCTAGACACTTAATCTTGCTGAATGTATGATTCATCGTTAGGCGTTAGATCATGAACATTTTGATTCTGAATTGATTTCTCAACATACATTGCAGGCTGAGCTGAACAAGGAGAGGTTTAAGCAGGTATGTCACTTTGTTTAATCTTTAAATTCAGTTACATTATGTGCTTCAATTGTCTCAAGATTTATTCAGCTTATTTTATGAACCATCAATTCTTAAAATTCCTATCATTGGTTTTATGATCAATGTTTTTATTTGCAAGTAAATGAACATTTCAGCAAACTTTGAGTGAATACATTTCATTTTGGAGTTTCTTTCTTTTACACGATACTCATAACGACCTAAGAGCTAATCGTATTTAAGATGTGCTATGGCTGTTAAACCTTGTAATGTCGTCCTCTTTGCTTGAAAGATGATGTTGCTAGTACCAATTGATGACACCTTGTGGTTTGACTCTGCCGCAGTTGATGAAGAACCTCATCCCCGTCATGGAGAAGCAAAGACCACGTCGTGTTGTCAGGCGTGTTCATTCCATGGAATGGTAAATGTTCGGCAGCAGCTCCTTATTTTTTTTCCTGTCAATTCTCTGTCCATAATTGAAGCTATGGGAAATAACTGCAAGAACCAAGCTGAAACTGAAGTGGGGTATGAGTAATGAAAGCAAAAACCAAGTTTCAAGCTTGATCTGGATTTTACCCATGTGGAAGATCTTTTCAGAAACTAAAGTTTGAGGTGTGGGAAAAAGATGCATTTTGCTTAGGTTAGGTAATTGGTGAATAAAAAAAAAAGGGAAGAAAAAGAATCTCATTAGTCATTTATGTAAATCTTGTCAGAAGGGGAAGATGGTATGCCAGGCCCGAGAACTGATCTAACACAAATTCTGAGTGTAAAAATTCATTGGAATATTCGAATGGCCTCACTTTCTTTCCCTATATTATTATGATTTATATTTCATAGAGTTGTGATAAAAGCTGAACGTGGTGCCATTAAGTTTTTGCTGCGCTAAAAATGTAGAGAAATTGATGGGTGACAACACCAAGCACGTCTATATTAACTTGCAGCAATGATCTGACAACAGCAAAGTTAATGGTCCTTCCAATGTCTTCCAATCATCACTGCCATTACTTTGCGGCTTTGCCATGCTAGTTTGCTTCACCAAATGCCTAGGTAACCCCTTCTTCCACCATTAACGTTTTGATTGGGAAAAAATATATCAAGAAAGTAGCGTGCATCAGATTAGTCAGGCATGAATTAAAGAGAAAATTAGGGTCTTTCTATGATGCAAGCCTGTCATTCTGGTGATGGCATTAAATTAGCTTACAAATAACACAACAGTATCAATTTTTCCATACTACAAATGGTCACCCTAAGGATAAGAAGTGACAAAGAAATGAAAGAATAGAATTAGAGATTGTCATTAATATTTTTTGCTTTGTTTTAGTGGGGCCACAATCATCATTTGTTTAGCATCGTATGCTCTAATCACGAGCCAATTTGGTGTCAATTAGGGATTAGGGATGGACATAGGTCAGATTTTTGGTTCACCGACTCGATCCGAGAACAAAGAATCTTTCACCAGAGATTCGACCTAATCCGACCAAAACAAGATTCCACTTGACCCGAACCTGACCCGATATATAACTCAAAAATTCGACCCGAAATAATAATAAAAATATTATTTTTATTTAATAAAAATAGTGACTTAATTGAAAAAAATAATATATAGAGGGGTATTGTTGTAATTATTCTTAAATATATAAGGTAAAATTATTTTTTTGGGGTTGGGTCGGGTTTTTTTCACCCTAAACCCGAATCTCACATTAAAAAACCCCGACATGAACCCGATTTTTTTTAAAACTCGATCCGATCGGGTCGGGTCAGAACCCTTCGGGTTCGGGTCCCATGCGGATGGGCACGGATGTTATTTTAAAAAACTTAGGTTAGGATTGGACTAGGTCGATTTTTTAGAGCATATGTTCAAGTCGGGTCAAGTTTAGTGTGAAAAATATCCGACTAGACTTGATCCGAAAAATAATATAAAAATACCTTATAAATATTTAGGGATAATTGTTAGAATACATCTCTTTATATTATTTTTCAATTAAATATTTATTTATTAAATAAAATTAATAATTTTATATTATTTCAAGTAGGGTCGGTCACAGTCGATTTTTATTTCAAAAATCGAATCTAGTTTCGGGTCAAGCGAAAATACTCTAAATTAGGTCGAGTTTCGGGTGGAGGGTATACAATTTTTGGGCCGGGTCAAATTAACCGAAAACAATACCCAATCAGACTCATGCCCCATCCTACTGTCCAACTGCTCATGCCCCATCTCGGGGGCTTGTTTTTGAGGATCAAGTGTTTCATTTTCTAATACCAATACTTCAATAAAAAGAAGAAAATAGTTTACAAGCAATGATAAAATCTAAAACAAAAAGGGGAAATAACAAAACTTTACTCCAACCATTTCCCATTTGTCTCTATCAACACTATTTTCCCTCTAACTCTAAACTTTGTAACACATTTATTCCCTTTTCCGAAATTCCTCATAGTTTGGTGAATTCCTTAGTGCTTACTATTGTTGTCGTTGTTACTAATATTAGAAGTTGTATCATCGCAAGGGGCAACGACAACTTGGATAGCTTCATTGTTGGGACAGCTTTCGTTTGATGAAACTAATTGCTTCATTCTCTTCATCTCTTGGCCTTTTCCCCACAGCACAACGTATAGTCCCACCACAATCAGCACTGCTCCTATTATGCTGTGATTTAGACCACGTTATACAAGATTATATAATTGGTTAATTGATTGATTAAGGAATTAATTACCTTCCCAGATAGAACTTTTCTTCAAGAAAGAATGCGCCCGCTAAAGCTACTAAGACGAGCAACAAAGGGCTGAAACTAGACGCGTAAAGTGGACCTCTCATGCGCACACACCAAGAGATCAGGCTGATCATCAACCCCGACCCCAAGATTCCCTGCTAACACACACCAGTGCATATTTAATCTCCAAATTAAAGCTAAAATATATAAATTAGTTTTAAATTTTGATTAGATCTTTAAAATGGTATTCTCTTGAAAACGTACCGCATAGGCAACGGTGAAAAGCCTGATATTCCATCCCAATTTCCATTGACTCCAATCTTTCTCCACGCAAAGTGCAAGAGAAGTTGTTTGTATGGCTGCCATTGTGCATGTCAATGCTGTGCTCGAGTAATAACATGGGTATTTCTCGCTCATCTTCGTCTTGTATGAAAAAAAAGAGAGTAAAATATAAGCATAAAAAAACAAAGTGATGATCCACTTATATTATTCATTAGTTATACATGTAAAGATAATACACAGAGAGAAAATATATTGCAAATGAAATGGAGTTAAAAGAAGACCTGAATGTTCAACCATATAGCATAAGAAGTACAGCTGCCAAGAGCTAGCAAAGCTCCCAATACATGATGAGCAGAGCTTGGATGAGAATTAGAAGACGAAGAAGAAGAAGCCGCATGGTGTAGGTGATGTAAAAGATCTAAATCAATGGATCCCATGTCAATTCTGAGTCCTTTGAAGAATGTGAATGTCATTGCCCCACCTAATCCGATTAATGTTCCCAACACCTTTGCCTTCCCTGCCATTGTCCCTAACCCCACCTTCTCCAATCTGCATACCATAAAAAATATGGGACTGAAGTTGAACCAAACTATCAATTTGTGGGTCTAATTGTAAAACAAATGGTAAATCTCTCTACTTGCATGACTCAGATAAAGGACATATATACCCAATGGTGACGGCCACAATGAAAGTTATGGCTGGAATTAGATTAGTCATGGCTGAAACAAATGTTGCTGACGTTAATGCCATGGCTTCTATGTACAAATTTGAGCCACTGAGCCCCTGCATAATACCAACAAAATACAGAATTAATCTTCACTTTAAACTTAATTAATCATTGATTAACCTGTTGGTGGCTAATAAGCTTACCCAAGTAACCCACAGAAAAATGCTTGAACTAGTACAGTCCAAGTTAGCTTTGGCCTCTTCCTGCGGAACAAACAATAATTGCAGAAAGAAAAAGGTTAATTAAAAAATTTATGTACGATAAGATTCGAACCACGACCTAAAAGAGAGACAAAATCGAACACGAGAGAGACGAAAAGAACCTTTCAACAAGGAGGGCAAGGGGGGTCATGAGAGCGGAGGCGAATATGAAGCGATAGGCAACCATAACTTTCATGCTCATTCCATCAGTTACAGCCAATTTATACAGAACATTAACACCTGCAAAAACCATTTGAACCACCACCATCAGTATCGCAGCCTTCAAGCCATGCAATATTTCAGCAATCTGCTCCATCCTTGTGTAAATTCACCAGGCTTTAAGCAAAGTTTTCGTGCCTTGACGAAATGGTGAGCACACGATTTATAAGCTACAAACACTCTTAGGTACGCTAGGCAGTCGGCCCCCTTCCTTTGTTTAACCACGTCACCGTGTACGTAATCATATCCGCACATGCTGAACTTCCTTTTCTCGGTAGCCCTAACACTCGGGCCACACCTATGAGGCGAGAGTTTTTAACTTGGATCCTCTGTGTGTTGTTATGGCACGTGGAGATTGCATTGCATGGTTCAACCACGTTATTACTGTTCCTTTCTTGGCGGCTCCTTTAATTTGTTCTTTTAACTTTTGGTAAAGCTGGAAACTCCGACGATATATATATATATATATATATACACACCATGTGATTGCGAAATGAAACCTCTGTAAGTGTGTTTGGTAAGTAAGAAAATGATGGGAAAGATTAAAGAAAATTGAATTTCGCCTTTCTTCTTGTGAGTGTTGATAATAATATTGGAGTTTGGATTTCCAATGAAACTAACCTCTCCCATAAAAGCAAAATGTAATAAAGTTGTAAAAGGAAGATACATTCTCAATGGAGCCTTTTTTCCAGGTTGAAGATGGACAAACTAAAATTTGCTATTGACGTTGTTTCTTTTCTTTTAATTTTCTTTATATGCACGAACGGAACTACTTTAGTAGTAAATGATTGTTTGAACATATACTTATTTATATTTATCTAATTTTATAATAAATTTTGAATTATATTCGATTCAAATTAATCATTCATGAACTAATCGAGGCGATTATTCTTAAAGAACACACACTCAAACTTATGATAAAGATTTTCCACAATTTGGAAAATACTTGGCTTGCGGGGAAACACACAAAAGTTTTCTAAATTCTATTAATATTACCTTTAGTAGGGAAAGCCTTTTAAAGGAACTGTCAACAGCAGGCTTACTTTTTTTTTTTTTGACGAATTTGTTAAATGGACTAAGAATGCATTGCTTTTACTTCAAAATATTTTCCACCAAAAATGGTGGCTGATTCGAATCGATGTAGTAAATAACTTACTAACTATATATATTTCTTGAAAAATGATTGTATTAAAATTGATTTATTGAGATAATAATATTTGTAATAATTTATAATGTATACCGTTTTCTAACACTATATATTTGCACAAATCAAACGACGTTGGTAATAAAAGAATTATTTTTATTATTTAAAATTTCAAGTTCAAATACTATGAATACCGCTAAATGGTTGAGAATTATTTTTATACATATATCATTTTCTCCTTACTCTAAATTAATAAAAAAAAATAAAAGAAATGGAAATAAAAGACAAAGTGAATTTTTTCTTCTTGTTTAGGTGGATGGCGCATTAACGCTCAAGACGTAACATCTAATGAACTTAAATATAATTTAGTATAAATTTTTATTATAATTAAATTTAAAAATATTACATATTTAAATGTATTTGAAATCCTAATATCAGAATTTATGTAACAATAGGATCCAAAATTTTAATATATATTTTTAGAAAAATATTAAATATGTGAATATTTTATTTTTTTTCTCCTCCTATTAAC